TTCCTTTTGTGTAACATTTTAATACAATAATAATAATAATAATGTTAGTGTTTGGCCGAGCTTCTATCCCGATTTGTGGCGTGCGCTTCAATGTTGTCACATACTTTTACGCCGCTTCTGACAAGCGGCAATTGTATTTTTATGAGAAGCTGTTTTCCATGGCTGAAATAAGCTTTTTTTGTTTCTTTTTTTTTTGATGTTGGGTTGAACCGGTGTTGAACCCTGGTCCTGCGGAGTGGTAGCATACACTGCTAACCACTACACCACTGCGTCCACCATTTTTAATACAATACCCGTCATAAAATGGAGACTTTTATTAGGTGGAAAGACCCAGCAGAGAATTCCACACAAACTTCCTCAAAGCGGCCAATCTTTTACTCCCCCTTTCTGGTTGCTTTTGCACAGAAGTTTAAATTGTTCCTTTCCACTTTCTTTTTAAAATTTTTAGAGTAGTCGTTGTAACTCTCATTACCCTGCATGGTTACATTTCGTCGAATCGACGACACATCACTTGTTTGAAACGCAAATTTCGCCTATAATTTGACATAAAACTGTAATTTTGGAATTAAGGAGAGAATAAATAAAATTAAAAAAAAAATTAAAACTTTTTAATATACCACGCTTTTACAAATGGACTAAAGATTAGGAAATAATATTTCTCAGTCCCACAAAACTTGTTTTGATAACTTCTGATTTTGAAATTTTAGCAAAAGTCATTATAAACAATACTTGGAGTGGAAAGAGAACAGAAGACTATCCAAGCAAAATGTTATTGGCTCACGTGTAGTATATATGTTACCGGCCAAACGCGATCTTAGGACAAACTAGTTTTTCCTAGGCTAGAGTAGTTCTAACATATCCGTCAAATGTGGAAACAAGTTGGACGCAACCATATTTTGGACTGCGTACCTGGAGTTGGAGTGATGAGGGATATTTTTGTGACGTCACATCAAAATGTTGCTATTTGTGATAAAAAAGAGACGTATTATTTTATTTTGAAAAAAAAAAGTTTTTTAGAGGTCGCGCTGGTTGGTTTTTTATAAAACGGCTAATGTTCTCAATTGTTTTTTTTTTCGTGACATGTTAATATGCAGCTAAAAATGTGGTTTTTACATATAATTACTCGGGTATTATTGGGGAACATCCCCTTAATTACATACCTGTCTTGGACGGTTAGAATGGGCCTAGTTCCCGAAGATATGCTCTGAAAAGAGGCTTCTAAAATTGAAACGTTGATACTGAACGACTTACGCATTACCATGGCTTGGTACTTGTTCCCAGGGGGTTTTTGGGATTGCTTATTAGGAATCTTAAGTCAGTTTTTCAAAATTCAAAATAGCGGATCCAAAATGGCGACAAATTAAAAAAAAAATGATTGGATTTGTTCGAAACCCGGCACTCTGGAGTTTTTGGAGTCGCTGATTATTTCTAAATTCAAAATGACGAGTCCAATATGGCGATCAAATTAAAAAAAAACAATTACTAAAATTAAGACGTTGATACTGAACGTTTTAAGAATTGTCATGGGTTGAAACTCGTTTCCAGTGGGTTTCCGGGAGTTGCTGTTTACGAATCCGATGTCAGATTTTCAAAATTCGCCATTTTCGATCTGCCATTTCGAGTTTTTGAAAAACTGACTTCAGATGTCTAATTAGCCATCCCAGAAACCACCTGGTAACAATTTCCAACCCATAGTAATGCCTAAACCGTTCAGTATCGACGTTTTAATTTGAGGAGTATCTTTTCGAGAGCATATTTTCGCGAACTATGTCCATTTTAACTGTCCACAACTGGTGTGTAATTAAGGGAATATTCCCCAATAATACCCGAATGGAAACCAATTATTCAGTAGCCGAATTGCCGCTAGCCAACAAGAATCGTCTCTGATGGGCGCAATCTTGTATTCTTGCATGCCCTGAACTTGCATGAGACCCAACCATCCAAGAGTGAGCCGCAGTAGGGCAGAAACATCTCCACTTGCTTCCTATCGGGTAGTAATGTTTCAAGGGTGCCCTTCCTTACCTAGTCATCAGCCTCGCAGTTTCTTGTAATGCTACTGTGGCCCGGCACCCAAATGAGTTTGATTAGAAAATACACCGACGCGGTTGGTATTGAGGTCAGACATTCTGCGACCGATTTTGAGCGAAGCAACATAGCACTCAGGGTCATGATAGCCGGCTGGCTATACTATTCTATGCTAACCTCCCTAACTGGCATCACGCTCTTTATAAGATATGCCGCTTCCTTGATGGCAGCTGCAGAGCATTATTGGGCCGAGGTTGGGTCGTTTAAATTTTATTTAAAAAATTACAACTATGCATTAAAATGTACGTAGCATGTATTGGCTAGCTCTTTTCCTATTTCGTCTACCAACTCCGTCTCCTTCTCTACAAAATTGTCTCTGTACAGCAAACAATTAGTGTCAATGCTAATGTTTATGATATAACTGTGTTTACTTTGTGCGCTCTGAAATATGAGTCACGCATGAAAGTACTACGCACGAACTCTATACTCCATTAAGCTTTTAACAGCTTGTAAGATTTGTTTGAGTACGAGTCTTTTAAGGCCAGTGAAATGGGTGCGAAGAAGTAGCGCAGTGCATAAATGAAGACATAAACATAAATATGTATGTAGTGTAGTACTCACATTCGCTCACGGAGATCGCCATTTTTTCCTTTCGAAAATTCACTTAATTCACCCCAATCATATGCACTAAAGTATTCACTTTGCAATCTTAACTACCCTCTTTTTGTGTAGCAAAGAGTAATGCAACTGCTACGGCAGCATCTTCATTATCAAAACACACTTCTTCTATTGAAGCGCCCCACCTCCGCCCCCTTTGTGTTCTATTAAGAACTCACTATTTGCTGCAACTCAGAAGTACACCCACCACTCTGTATAGCGGACGCAAGTAATGCGTAGAATAGTGAAATTATTTTTACATATCCGTCAGCATGTATAAAAACAACAAAAAAAAAACAATAATAAATCTTAGTTAGAAATACAATAATTTAAGTGAAGCGAAGAATTTATTTTTCTTCAAAACGTAATTGAAATCTCAGTATACATAAATATGTACTTGTATATGTTTTCATACACTGCTGAACATTAGGGTGGATTGTTTTAAGTTTGCAAAAAAAAATTGGGCAAAACACTGTCGCTTGTAAACTCTGAATTGCTCTCATAAGAGTGCATTACATACTAAAAAAAAATATGTATCGCTGCGAAGTCGCATTCTTGCGTCTTAGAGCTCTAGGAAGTTCATTCCTTTGTCATCTTTGATACTTAGATACTTCCTTTGTTCGCGCTTTCGTTCTTTAGGTCAATAGACCTGTACAAATTTGTTATGCTTCTGCTGTGTTTCACATTACCGAAGACTGTCGCCTTTGACCTCTATAATTTCGAAAAAGCGCGTGGATCTACTGCTTTTTAGTACTTAATGCGTTTAGAAATTACCATCTTGGTAATTAAAGCTCTCGAAGAAGGCCAATTGAGACCAATCCTTCAAAGACAGTTAAGAATCCTTCTCGAGCGAACTATTTGCCATCTTCGCTACCTTCAACCGGCAGTGGTCGGGTACCCAGCACAGTGTTACCACATTTTACATTGCCAAACGTTGAACCATGTTGAATTAGTGTTCAGAAAGCCTTATTTCGATATATTGGCGTTATTGTGGCCTTCGGGATCTATTATTTTTACATGCAACTTTCTGTCAAAGCATATCTGCGTGGTCATGGATTCAGAAAGCGCACATCTCTCCAACCCTATTATCTACTCAAGAGTATCTACACAGAGTTTCTTTGCATACAAGTTGTCCCCAATTGCAGTTCCCTCAAGGGTATTTCTGCTTAAACATTAATATGAGCAGGATCTCCCTTATTAATCTTGTGACAAAAAGGGTGCCGTGTTCCAAATTTTTGGGATAGAGATGGTAATCGATCTCCAAGGTATATCAGTCTACGATTCATGGTACGTGGGCAGTCACTTAGAATATGCTCTGAGGTTACCTCCACTAACTCACAAAACCTGAGGTTCGTCTCTAGAGAAATATTTATTCAAATATTACCTTAACTTGCAGTGGCCTGTCAGGTAGACTGTAAGAGCCCCAAGACGCTCACGGCTAAGTTGAAGGAGTCATTCGGATTTCCCCCTAGAAGGAGTTATGAATTTCTTTGGTTGTCTCATTTCCTTTGACTTCCACCAACTGCAAAATATTTCTGCTTTCAAACCCTTCACGCCCACGGGCCTACCCTAACGTCACTCTATTATGGGATTGTAGGCTGTTCAGAAGAGTTTTACAACTGTCCAAAAGCCTTGATACAGTTCTAAAAGAGCCTAAGGCCTTTAGTGCTGCCTGACTATCTGACATAATATTTATTCTTGCGCCTTTTATCCTTCTACGAAAACATCCTCGAACACAGATTCGATTGCGAAGACTTCCGCCTCGAATATGTGCCCATTGGAAGACTTTCTTGCTATCTTGGTCGCAGTCTATCTTCGATCCATCGGGATATCATAGTTAGGGCCATTTGACCATTATTATCGCAGCAGTGCTTTTCAGGAATTTTGAGATTGTGGGGGTTGCCAAAGGATAATTTCGTTAAGATAATATCTGTGAATTTGATAGCGGGATCATCCATGAATAGCTTGAGAACCTCCAAGTGATCTATTTTTCATGCGGATTACATTAGCCAGGACATACGTTGGACAGGTGCGCAAAGCTCCTGTGATGGCCACGCAGACCAAGCGGTACTTGCTTTTCCGCCTTTCTTCAGCAAATTTGCTTACAATTACACGTAGAATCGTTTTGTGCTATACGCGCATAGTCGAAAAAATCTCCCATACAAATTGACCCGCCCTAATGTACATATTTCCCTATTGACAGAAATATTGTAATGATGATTTCACCATAAAACTAACAGCTTTCCTATTTCTCGTTCTTTCTTTGATTCACAATTTTATTGCATTACAATTCTCTTTTCGTTTCAAATTTTTTCTAGGGTGAAAAATACGATGGACGTAAAGCGGATGTTTGGTCCTGTGGCGTTATCCTGTATGCGCTATTGGTGGGCGCATTGCCCTTCGATGACGACAACTTACGCCAACTGTTGGAGAAAGTGAAGCGAGGAGTGTTTCACATACCGCACTTTGTGCCGCCCGACTGTCAGAGTCTGTTGCGCGGCATGATTGAGGTGAATCCGGATCGACGACTGACGGTGAGTCATCATCGCGCAATAAAAATTGCACACAATTACACGCACATAAATGTATGAATAAAAAGTTGCAGGCATGCATGCAGCCAAGGGTGGTTGACACTGAATTCTCGCACACCCCCAACCAAGCCAAAACAATAACAAACACAATAAATCGTCAGGCAGTCAGTCATAAAAGCGACAATTGTTGACAGCCGAAGCAGCAGCAGCAGCACTGATTGCATTGCCGGAGTATGTATGTAGTTGTTATTGACTCGGTTGGTTGGTTAGTTGGTTGGTTGGTTGGTAGCTGGCATGTCCGCATGGTTGATATACAGCCACACATGTACTTATATACTCGTATTTACAGACACATGTGTATCCTTGTCACCAGTCAAATCCCAATTGCGCTCGTTTGTCAAACAGTTCGAGCATTTGATTTACATTCATTTGCATTTACATTTCAAGCTACTTCAATAATCTCACTACCCCTTCCTATCTTTGTAAATACCTAATTCTTTCCTATTCTTGAACTTTGCATACTTTTCACACTCTTTTCCTTTTTTTTGTTGAATGTAAATTCAAATTTATCTCCCATCACTTCTCTTCTCTGCAGCTGTCCGAAATAAATCGCCATCCATGGGTTACAGCTGGCGGCAAAGGTGAACTGGAGTTGGAGCTGCCGATGATGGAGGTGGTGCAAACGCATGTAATTCCCTCTGCCTCAGCGGTGGATCCGGATGTTTTAAATGCGATTTGTTCGCTAGGGTGCTTCAAGGAAAAGGAGAAACTCATTCAAGAGCTATTGAGTGCGAAGTAAGTAAATTTTTGTGTGTAAATATAAGCGTTTGTGAGTTTTGGTTGCCCTGACGGTAGTGATTACCTATCTCAGTTTTTGGGAATTTGCCACAAACGGTGATTAACTCGTGTTGTTGTACACTGTTAAGAGGATTATGGTAACATGATGTGTGTGTATTGAGTACTTATTAGTGCCCCGAGGGAAACTCACTGATGAGCATTAATTCAATAATGACATAACAGTCTCTGGGTTGGTTTAGTAGGGGAGTTACTATTGTAAACAATAAGTTTGTAGAACTGGGTTGGGGGAATTTTCGTAGAAATTGTATTGAATTCTAGAAAATCAATATTTTTCGATCGTTAAACCCGGGTTCTCTTTAGCAGACTTAAAATAATAATACCCAATTATTTTTCTGAACAACTTTTAATATTAACTATTTTTTATAGGTCCCCCAAGAGACCCAAAAAATGCAATGGGAGATCCAAAAAAAAAATCCGGTAGTATTAAAAAATGTTAAAATAAGCAATTGGGTTTTTGTTATTGAAAGTAGTCTGAAGAGAAACAGAGTTTTTCGATCGAAAAATATTTTCAAGATTCTATAACATTTCTATGAAAAAATGTTTTTTCCCTATATAAAACACATGGGAAATTTTAGACGCTTTGGGCGACCTCTAAATATTTTTTGATTTCAAAATAAAACAAACAGGTGTATATTTTGTTCGGTATGCAACAATCTTAGGGGGTGAGAACACTAAAATTCGGACTTTTCTTTTTTAAAATGCATTTTTGGACCACCTTAATATAAATATATTCAAGCGAAGAAAGTATCGCATTTTTAGCGGACGATTATATCTACCTCGAAAGATGCCAAAAATCTTTGTTCGGAAAAAATTTTTGTTCAAAGCGACCAACCCCTAGAAATGGGCGTGAAAGTTTTAAGACTAAAGTTTACGAAACGCAGTTTTTATCAAAGATTTCTGCAGAATACTCCTTTCTTAACAACATTTGTTCTGAAACTTTGTTTAAATCGAAGAAAATTTTAGAAATGGGCGTAGCACTTTAAGAGTCAAAGTTGTGTATAAAACTTAAATATACAAATGCTTTAAGTAGGTTGTCATTCAACAAGTTTTTATAAATATATGGCGTGATTTGCAAAGGATATCTGAATTTGAGGAACGTATTGTAAAATAAATAAAACGGCCCCCTTTATAGCGGAAGGAGACCGATTTTGAATGTGTACGACAATTTTTAAAAATCTAAAAAAATACACTTTGCTAATTATTTATACCTCATATAAATTATATATCTCTTGAGCAATTAAGTAACTTAAATTAGGAGATCGCCTAGCTGCATTACTACTGCGAAATCAATTTATTTTACTAAGGATTTCTCAAAGAATCTGCCTCTTTTCCAACCCTATAGGTAGCGCAAAAATAGTTACCCTTCTGCTTTTCTTCCGATAGCGTTGTATCCTGTTATCGATACTACATCGGTGGCAAAATTTATTATACACGATGTGCGTAGTTATGGGATCGTTTTAAATCCCAATTAGTATACAAACTTACCTCAATTGTCAAGATGTATTCAAGAGGTATTCGCTTTTTTGCCAGATGGCCGATAGTAAAGCCTTTTCGAGAAAAAGAAAATTGGAATGAATATGTCTCACCTAGTAAAAAGCGAGCTGCTCAACTACCCTACTTAAATATTTGCGTTAGGCTACAATTTTAGAATTCTAATAGAGAGATTCCTACGCTTTAACACTCGTTGCAGCTTAGTTGTCTGAGTATGTTTAGATAGTGCGACCAACTCAAAAAAAAAATTTGGGCAATTTTTTTTTTTGCATAAATCAATTCATAGGACTTAAATCCAAATAATTGAAATATTATTATTTTTTTTCATGAAATTAAATAAAAAAAGTACTGTTGTACCTGATTTTGTACTAATTGCGTTGAATCTGTATGATCCACAAGCAGTTAAACTTCCCTCTCTGAATTTTGAGTTAGCTCTTTTTAGATCTAGGTGTGCGATATTACCACATAGACTCTTCTGTATCGTAGACTTTAGACATCTTCTTGCGGAGTGTCCTTTAGACCTAACTGTTCTAAAAAGACCCCGCCAGCAACAATGTTCTCCAGTTTAGACCAGACTTCTTGTTAACTGACGCCAATCAGAAATACCAAGAGAATTCATGCAGCTCTCCAACTGATCTTTCCAATTGAAAGCGAGGCTTCGCCATTATCTATCAGCAGCAGCGGGTACCGTTTCGAATACTTTCAAAGTTGGGCATGGCCTTTCCAAATTAACTTCTACACTATTGCGGTGGTGTGGTAAGTCTCTTCATTCCCTCGTCGCTGTTACCTGCCGTCACAAATACGTTAAAGGCCATACATCTCTCGTAGAATTTTTCACTAGAACATCCAACAAAATCCACCACTGTCATCCATACATCAAGCTCAACATGTTGAGAGAATTAAAAAGTTTGATTTTCGTTCATCGAGGCAGGACTTTACTTCTCAATTTCCTAGTAAGTCCACAGTATTTCTTGATGGCAACAGCGATTTTTCGTTGGATTTAAAGTCAGACAAAGTGTTCTATAACTTTGAAATTATAAAAGTTGTTTGTGTACAGGAAAGGTGCCCTTGTCTGCTACCAAGAGGAGCTCTGAAATTTTTTAATTTGCTACTGGTATTGCTTGACGTCATTTCTAACAGCCTTGTTTTAGTTTAGTAGAGGCTCAAAATCAGGACAAGGAGGCGTATAGACAGCTCCTTTTTGGGCTATTGTAGGCGGCTTTAAAACGGCAAATATGTAAATAGATAGTGTATCGATCCTTTAATCACGGATCTTTTCCCTAATACTAAGCGTTTGATGAACAACTGATCTATGGTAGCCTAACCAGGTCTAAAGGTGCACTGGAAATACATTTCGTTTACTTCTTCACCTCCCAGTATCGATCTCGCTTACTCCGTTCTGCATCCGGTCGCTAACATGCACCTTAAAATTTAAAAAAAAAAATTGTGATATCTTTATATATTTTTTTGCGTTCAGTCACCCGGTTTTCGATCAGCTTGAAACTCCTCTTTGTCGGTAGGGCGGTGATGAGCTAAGTTTTGTGACTCTGTTAGAATAGATTTACCTTAAGATTTCATGTATGGCAAGTGAAGTAAAGTATTTTTTTTTGTTCTTTCTTTCTTTTTTCACTTCAGTCACAACACAGAGAAGGTAATTTATTTCCTACTCTTGGATCGAAAACGAAGGCGGCCTGCCTTGGAGGACGACGACGAAATCGCTCAAAAATCACGTAGTGAATTAGATGCCGTAGATCCGCCCAGAAAACGACTCGACACATGTCGTATAAATGGTACGAACTCACCCAGCTATGGACAAATATCGGAGGGTTCGCCGCTGACACCAAGGCGGCAAGCATTCAAGTAAGTGGAAAAGTTTTAGAGTAGCATAAAATGCATAGCTGAGTTCAAGCAAGTACACGCTGCTGGCTTAACAGGAAATCATAGCTGCTTACACAGTTATTCGATCTAACAGCTATTCATTATATTTATAAGTTATACGCAAATATACAACTCAATCACTTTGTGCTCAAAATTTTACGAAAACCCCATAAACTCAATTTACTTACTAATCGGTTTCGTCAACTTATCAAATCTTTTTTGCATGCCGCTGCTTCCTTACGCGCGCACACATTCATCGACACATACACACATGTGCATCTGCATCGCCATACCTCATCTGCTAAACTATTACGTCATCAATATTGCGTTTGCGTTCCATTGTGCGTTCATGCGTTCATTCGTTGCAAATTCAAATCAAAACCAAATCGTATCAAAAAAAAAAAAACAACAAAACCGAAAATCAACCACAGCTTCCGGTCCTACAGCAGTTCGCGTAATCACCAGCGTCGCTCACCCACTTCGGTTTCCTCGGTGCGTTCCTCGTCATATCACAGTCCCACACGCTGCAATTCGCCCATCAATTCGGCGCAACAGCAAGTCAACGCTATCTCACGTCCATCCTCGCCAGCGGCCACATCCGCCGGTCACTCGTCCCGTCACACAGCCTATTCGAGTGAATGTCGCGAGCGTTCCGGTTCGGTGCAACATCATCCGTCTGTAAGTCGCACACCTTCGCACTCCTCGCAAACCGGCGTTGAGGGTATCATTGGTGTTGGCAGTGGAAGTGGTGGCGGTGGTGTTGGCAGCGGTGTCGATAGAGGTGACAGAGGTGACCGAGGTGGTGGTGGTGGTGGTGGTGTCAGTGTCAACAGCAATGGAGGTGGTTGCAGCAGTGATGTCGTCGCGGTGCGTGAAGCACGCGAGGCGCGCGAACGTAGAGATTCACGTAGTGAACGTCAAGCGGCGGTGCAGGCTAGCTGTGGTGGTGTGCCAGGTAGTCCAGGTGGTAGTGGTGTTGGCGGCGGTAGCAGTAGCGGCAGTGGTTCCACAGTGCATCATCGTGCCAATTCTGGGCCAACCATTGCGATTAGCATGTTTCACGATCCGGAGGCGAATAGTGGTAAGGAAGATAAGATGAAACTATGTAGACGAAATTGAAAATATTTCGGTAAGAAAGTGGATTAAAATATCGGGAGGTAAATATATGCAAATCACATTTGAAAAAGGCAGCCTTGAGCTTTAAATACTAAAGTTGAAGCCTTAGTACAGTGATGTCAAAATGGAGCTTTAGAAATACATATTTATATGTTTATATCAGTAAAGACCGTAGAGAGCTTTTACGTGTGCGTGCTTTTAAAAAACATAGGCTTTGAAAGTAGCCCAAGTATGGGCCTTCTTAAGATTTCTATATATCTTGTATTGACGAACATAGGATAAAAGCCCCTACTTGGTAGAGCTTTTTGACTTTATTGGGAGGAAAGCCATGAACTTGGAGTTAAGGCCTGGGAACACTGATGCCTAAAGGAAGCTTTACAGAATACATGTGTGTTTATATCAGTGAAGACCAAGTAGAGCTTTTACGTGTGCGTGTCTTTGCAAAACAATGACTCCAAATTTATATTTTGTATTAACAAACCTAGGATAAAAGCTCACTGTAGTCGCAGAAGCTCAATAGGCTTGGCAGAGCTTTTTCACTTGATTGGGAGGAAAGTCATGAACATGGAGTTGAATCCTTAGAGCACTAATTCCCAAAGGGAGCTTTACAATATACATATATGTATATGTGTTTATATAAGTGAAGACCATGGAGAGCTTTTAAGTGCCCGTTTATTTAAAAACCAATGAAACTAGCCCGCGGGTGGGCCTTTTCAGATTTCTATATATTTTGTATGGACGAACACAGGTTAAAAGCTCCCAAACGCCGCAAAAGCTCCAAGGTTTGGCAGAGCCTTTTTAGTTTTATTGCGATTTTATATGACCGCGCACAAAGTAAACATCTATTTGTTCGTCACTAATAGAAAATATACAGCAAGTTTAAAAAGCTTTATTGCGCTATATATAAACCAATGATGAACAGAGAGCGCTTATACTCTAAATCTATTAGAAGTCTTAAAAATTTTATTTCGCGGAATACTTTTTAGTCAAAATCAATTTTTTTTTGTGCAATTTCTCTTGTCAGTCCGTTTCCATTCTTTTCCATAGTTTCTAATCAAATTTTCATATCTTCCAGTCATGAATCCTTCAACGTCGCCGCTCATGAACAACAGCTCGCCAGTGATGTCCGGTTCGCCATGCAATGCGCCCGGTGGTCAATTATGGAAGACACGCCTCACGAATATCAAAAACAGTTTTCTGGGTAGTCCACGATTTCATCGAAGAAAGTTACAAGGTGGTTGTTCTCAGCTATCAAATACGAATATTCTTTGTTATCGGCTCCTTTTTTCACATTCCAGTGTCCGCAGATGAGGTTCATTTAACGCCTGAATCATCGCCAGAATTGACCAAACGTTCTTGGTTTGGTAATCTTATAACAACGGAAAAGGATGAGACTTTCACGATTTTGGTGAAAGGCAAGCCAATAGCGACTGTTAAAGCGCATCTGATACACGCTTTTTTGTCGGTGAGTAGTATTATTAGCTTCTATCAGCCTGAATATTTTTTATGTATTTTTTGTTTAAAATTCATTCTATTTTCAACCTTCACTTTTAGATGGCTGAGCTTTCGCATAGCGTCGTTTCACCCACGTCCTTCCGTGTAGAATATAAACGTAATGGTAATGGGCCTGTCATGTTTCAAAGGCATGTCAAGTTTCAGGTAATGGACGGTTATTATTTTACATAAATTAAATTATGTTTCTTTGCAATTTTAATTCACACTCCATTTTCTTGACTCAGGTGGATATAAGCGCAATTTGTAAACAAGGAGATATCTCGGATATGCTGTTTGCACTGACATTCACTTTGTTATCAGGTATACTATATTTTAATCCAAAGTGCAATAAAGCCGCAAAAGATAATAATATGACTTTATAGGTCTTACTTTACTAAGCAACATGTTGGCATTCCTTTATGAATAATGTTTATTTGTTTAGATTCAGTCTTGTTGCCTTATCGATCTTAGTATGCAATTTCTTTCCTTGAAAAACCGGCAAATCTGGTTTAGCATTATTTAATTAATTAGGGATACCGCAACCTAGAATACCTTTTGCATCGATCCCTTTGATAAGACGCAATCAGTCTCCAAGATAAATGTTAATAATGTCTTGGGAAACGAGTTTTTCGATAAAAAGGGATTCGTGTGTTGAGGAGCTAAAGTAGTGCAGTCTTAGTTTGGCCAAACTTTAGGCCAATCAGTCTCTCATCGCTTCTACTGAAAACGTTGGAGTAGCTGCTTGACCTGCACATAAGGAACGGGATTCCTAAAGATCGCCTATCAAGAGCACATAAAGATTTTGTGGCAGAAGTCTTCCTCGATACCGAGAGGGCTTTTAATAATGTCCTGCCGGAGGTAATAGCCAAGTCGTTGGATAAGCTTGGAGTTGAAGTGAGTCTCATTTAGATACGTGACAGAACAGTCATAGCCATATGAGGAAGCACTTGCCAGCAATGAATGGTGAATAAGGCACTCCGCAGGGAGGTGTCCTCTCACCGTGGTCTTGGTAGTGAACCACCTACTAGAGAAGCTGGAGAAACACCGCTGTCGCGTAATTGATTACCTAGACGTTATTGAACTTATAGTTAAAGGTAAATACGTTGTACTGATCTATGAATTGACCCAATGGCACGTTAAAATGGTTTATAACTGGGAGGCCAAAAGAAGCCTCGCCGTAAATCCCAGCAAGACAGCACTGGTCTTATTCACTAGAAACTATACAATCCCTTACGCTGTTCGTCCTCCTACTGGGGCGCTTGCAGCTATCTGGCAAGGTCGAGTACTTGGGCTTGATCCTTGATAGGAAGTTGTCGTGGAGGCTAAACGTCGAAAGCTATTGGAAAGAGATAGGACATTTCGCTCAAAAGTTATCTGCTGTCTATACGAGACCGTAGTCAAGCCTATTATGTTTTATGGCGCCCTAGTCTAGTGGAACTCACTTGAAAAGGTTACACTAACTAAGCAGCCGGAGCACGCATAATCTCCGCATACAGTCGGGGAGCTAAGCATTTATTGTGATAGTGAAGCGGCTATCAGCGCCTCTCTCAGTTGCGTGGTGAATACTTCTGTGTTAGGCCATTTGTGTTGCCGGTTACGGCAAGAAGGCGGGGAATTGTGTGGCTGGCGGATTTGCTAATAAAGGTACTAAACTTTGCTAATAAAGGTTATCGCGGGATAAAGAGTGGCTGGGGGCGCCATAGATCACATGTGCTACACTCTTAGATAGATGTCAACTCAGCGAGCACCAGGTCATATGCGATCGGTATTTCTGGCCGAGGGTCGACCAAATTGCAGTTATCGCTCTTGGTGGGGGTTTTGCGTTTGCGAGGCTAAGGTCCCTTACACCCGTAATTCGAAGACAGATGGCTTATTTCTCGCTCGCAACAGGCATGTGAATGCGTGTCTGGAGTCAAGTTAAATTTGAAATCTGTCATTATTCGTTTAAAAGTTCCCTTTCTAAGCATAGCTCAATAAGATAACGTTGATATTAAGGATATTCCATAACACATAACAACAAAAAAGAGTGCTCAGTCGAGCACAGAAGGCCGAAAACTTTAAAAAAATTTAAACAATGGTCTTTAGAAGGCCTCTTTTCCAGAATATCTTTCAATCACTCATCAACTGAATATGTATTTTTTTATTTTCATAAAGTTGAAAAAATTGCTCATAAAAACCTTTCATCCATTTCTTAGGTAATATTCGTCGTTTCCGTCGCATCTGTGAACACATACAATCCCAAGTTTGTTCAAAACGATTCCCTGGACCGAGTAGTCCACCCACAGTGGCTACAGTTACGCAAGCTGTGTCGGAAAGTTCGTCATGTGGTTCGGTCTCCAGCGAACGTTTGTCCTATAAACGTCAAGTAAGTGGCCAAAATACAGAATTTTTGTTGGAACAGTAGATATTTTTATTTATTTATTTTTTTCTTTAGCAGATTGAGAATGAAATTGAAAACGACTCGATATTTGTTTTCAAATCGGGCAATGGTCGACGGGCATCAACTACAAATAATAATAATGCACCACCGGCGGATATTGCACCCGGTAGTCCAATAGCAGTGCGCTCTAAGTAAGTGGGACCAATTGTGATATAGTATGTACTGGCAGCCTTGGGAGAGATTTAAAATTGAATAGAGAGCTCTCTCTTTGGGTTGGCCGATTAAATTTTAATTTTTATTTTTCCAAAAATTTATTTTAAAATTTAAAACTTTACTTACTCTCCACTCTTTACAGTTCC